GGGGGGGGGCAGATTTGGGGTGGGCCGGGAGAGAAGAACCCCTCCTCCTTTGGGTTCAGCACAAGATCGCTTCGTTGTGTCGTACCCTCGTCCACCACCTGACAAGCGCCCTCCGTCGATGGGCTCCCGTCCTTTGTAGGTGGCATTCTAAAGTTACAGGACAACCCTCCTTGGTTCGTGTGTGATCCGTGGGCCAGAGAGGGGATTTCTGGGACAGGGTGGGACTTCCACATGGGCTTTGCAAAGAGAGAGAGATTATATAGATCCAACCCTAACCCCCCCCGCCCCCAAAACCACAGTCGAGAGCCACCTGGCCTGTTTCAGGCCCCTTCTTTTTCCAAACCCGGATCCGATTCCTGATGGGATGATGGCGGCCTGCCCTACATGAGGCAGAGGCTTTCAAAGTGCCCCTTTCTTCTCTAAAACCTGGGGGAGGCTTGAGGGCCATTGACCCACCTTCCTTTTGCAGATTTCAGATCGGAGTGTGTATGTCTACGTGTGTGTGTGTGTGTTTTAAGTGGCTGCTCTGTGGTCTTCTCCAGATCTTCCTCCAAGCCTTGATCATCATCACGGGCAACTACAACTTCTTCAACCTGCTGACGATCGTGCTCTGCTTCTCCCTGCTGGATGACGAGCATGTGGGGCTGTGGCTGGGGCGCGGGCGGAAGAAGGCGGGGCCTGGTGAGTGTCCGAAGGGGCTGTGGGTAGATGAGTCGCCACAGGCCCTGGGCAGGGTCCAGCGTAAATCCAGCCCACCCAGACATAGCACTATGGGGTAGCCTCCTCCCCCCCCCCAAGGCAAGGCAAGGGAGTCCCTGCCCGCCGGCCTCTCCAGACTCCTTATTGGAGGGCTGAGCAGCTGCTTTCCCCCTCTGCCCCGCCCCCCTGGTTGTTCTGAGGGTCGCCTTAGACGCTTCCCTGGGGTTCTGAGACCAGCTCATCCTCTGTCAACCGGAGGGAGCCCAGCGGCCAACCCACTTTGCATCAAAGAGCTTGGGAATGTTTGAAAACTAGCTTTATACTGTCCCCCTCCGCTCCCCCATCCCCTGTCGCACAAGACTGCACAGCACACTTACACCCTGCAATATTCACTCTTTGTCCCACCACCGATGATGGGGAGGTGTGCTCAGCTGTGTTTTGTCAGCCCCTCGCATCCACCCACCCAGCCTTGTGCCTGGACAGGCAAAGCATGCAGGGTCCAGTGTCCAGGGCCCCAGTGGACAATCCGCTCCGAGGCTTGCTGTGGCTTCAGGTCTGTTTCCTCTGGTCATTACCTCTGTAGCCGCTGTCTAGTGCCCTGACGACCCGAAGGACCGTCTCTCCCCCCATGGGCCTTTTCAGCACTTAAGATCATCAGCGGAGGCCTTCCTCTTGGTCCCATGAGGGAGGGGGGCCTTCTCCGTGGCTTCTCCCAGGTGGTGGAAGGCTCTCCCTCGGGAGGTCAGATCGGGCGCCCTCCCCTTTATCCTTCCACCAACAGCGGAAGGCACACCTTTTCAGGCAGGCTTTTAACCATCATAACTAAGTCCCCAGGGGCTCGTTTTTTGTTTTTTGTTAAGATTGTTTTTAATGTTTTACCTATTTTTAGTTATTTGTTTGTATTTGAATCCATTTTATAATATGCTTTCTTAATGTGCCGTATTTTTCCATGTATAAGATGATACTTTGATCTGAAATCTTTTAGACTATCTTTGGAATTGAGAGTCGTCTTATACATGGAAGTTGCGGGGGAAGAGATCAGAGCGCTGCAGGATCACAGCCCTTTGATCCTTTGCTTTCTTAATGTACTGTATTTTTCCATGTATGAGATGATACTTTGATTTAAAATCTTTTAGACTCTCTTTAGAATTGAGAGTCGTCTTATACATGGAAGTTGGGGGGGAGATCAGAGTGCTGCAGGATCACAGCCCTTTGATCCTGCAGCCCTTTGATCGCTGATTTCCCCCTCCACTTCCACAGCCCTTTCATCCTGCTTTCGCGGGGCTTAGGAAGTGGAGGGGGAAAGCAGCGATCAAAATTTCTCATTTGGGGTTGGAAAAATGGGGGTCGTCTTAATACACATAAAAATACAGTATATCTTGCTGTATTTTTAGTTCTGTTCTTTCACTACTGTGAGCTCCCTTGGGTCCCTTTATCAGGAGAAAGGCAGCCTTTAAATAGAATACAGTAACATACCTATGTATATACATGCATATATACATGCATAAATACATATTTTGTAAAAAGAAAACCTAAACGTTTCCAAGTTAGGGGGGGGGACAGTCAAGGCATGGAGATGGGGGAGGTTCCATGGTTTAAAGGATTGTGTCCCTCAAGTCTACGTTGGAGTGACAGTTCTTTTTTTTTTTAAGGGTGTGTGGATATGGGTGTGTTTCTCAATTGGGGGTGAACCAGCAGTCCCGAAAGTGGGGAAGGAAACGCATCCAGGTTGCCTCTCCTTCTCCATCGCCTTGAGCAAGGTCTTTCCAGCCTAGGTCCATCGCCTGCTGCAGAGGGAATCTGTGCGTGGGAGAGAGCCCCCCTGCACGCTTGCTGTGGCTGTTTGGGGGGGGGAATCATTTGCACCTGCTGCGTGTGTTGATTTGAGTGATTTCCAGGGCGGATGCTCCTCTGGCGACCCGGTGAACGGCGTGCGTTGCAGAGAGGCCCCTTCCTCTTTTCCCCTCTCCGTTAACCTCGCTTTCGCTCTGCAGCCGGCCCCCCGAGGCTGATGTCCATCCTCTCTGTGCTGGCCGAGCTGGGCACCTACGGCCTCGGCCTCTACTGGACAGCCCTTTACTTTGGCCTGCAGATCAACTGGGAGAAGAAGCAGTTTGAATCCAAGACCGGTGAGTTCGGCTGCGGGGCAAGAAGGGAGCAGCAGGGGGGCGCCCTGGCCCTGTGGGTCACAGCCAATGGACAGCACCTTTTTTTTCACCCATGGCTGGGGGGGGTAGGCTTTCAGGATTTTCAGACCCCCCCTCCGACCCTTCAGTCTTTCACCTCAGCCATCTTTGGTCTCCCCCCAAAAAACAGGGACAGGCCCATAGTCTTTAGGGGAGGTCTCCTTAGGGTTTCCCTTAGCCAATCTTATGAGTCATACAGCTTTACCTGGGTGGTAGGTGTTCACTCCAGATCCTAAAGGCTAGGATCACACCTCTAAAGACGAAGGATGCCCGGACTGTGTTTTGCAGCGTACTTGGGTCTCCTGCTCTGTGGGATTTTCAGGGTATGCTTGGAATTGCCTTCCAGACCCCGACCCCCCCCCTTTCAGCTTTCACTCCCAAAGACGTCATCATCCCTCTCTAGCACACTTCTGTGCAGAGAGCCCGGGGCGCGGCCGGATGGGCTTCTGGTGCATCGGTTTTCCTGGTGCTCCAGGGTGGGTCGAACCACGTGCAGAAACCTGTAGGGTGGTGGGTTTTCTGACCACCTGCCCTTTTATCGATTTAGTGCCTGATGGGGTGGGAGGGGCAGGCTGTGTCTCCCTTGCTCCTCAACCCTCTCCTCCCCCATCCAAAACACGCACTCTGGACAAACGGGCTGTTTCTTGAATGTATTTCTGCAGCGTTCACGTACCATGAATTCATGCAGTGGCTGAGGATGGTGACTCTCCCTCTGGTGGGGATTGGATTTTTGTCCCTGCTTTGGGAAATCCTGCAGGCTGGATACAGGTGAGTGAACAGGCGGCAGTCGCACAGGTGTGGCTGGCTGTGGCTGGTGGCAGGCAGCTGCTGAGATATCCAGCCCCCGAGTGAGGGAAGCTGTTTGAACTGTTTCCACCTGAATCTTCGGGGAAGCTGCCTTTCTCAGAAAAGCTGAATTACAGTCCTACCAGCAACCTTCTCTCTCTTTTTTTAATGGTGGGGTGTCTCTCCTCCATTGCCTGCCTTGTGGGTCCTTTTATCTCCCATTTCAGCTGCAAAATGGGCGTCCCCTTTTGTAGCAGAAATCCTAGATTTTGGAGCCATGCATAGTGTGTGTCGTTGGTTTCAGGTTTTAACTGAGCTGCCCCACAGCCTTAAATGAAGCAGGCTTGAGTCCTACACAGAATGACTACAAACCTTCTACAGCCCTTTTCAGTGGACAGGAGCGAAGTTGGGAAAGTAATCTCTCCGGTAGCCATGTTCGTCTTATAGCAGAATAAAAACCAGAAGCTGGACCTTTAAGACTAACTCATTTTTCAAAAAGCTTTAATGTGTCCAACTGCCTTTCTTCGGACGGACAGAGTGTCTGTGTCTCGGGAGGCGAGGGGGGGGCAGAGTTTAAAACTCAGCAGGAAGCGTGTGTCAGAAAGGGCAGCTTATTCTCCCAGGAGCGACACACCCTGTTGTTACCCTCCTGTGATGCTGGCTCCCTGCCAACAGTTTTAACCTCCCCCCAAAGACACAGCCACTCTTTTCATCTGAAAAAGTGGACACACGAAAGCTTGTGATCAAAAGATAGTTCTTGTATCACATTTAAGGCTGACTAGTTTCTGTTAGTCTTAAATCTGATACAAGAATGATGTTGGGCATGGAAGAACGTCAGCTAGGAGCCCCGTTCGCTCGGCCTGTTAAATCGTCATTGGTGTCACGAGACAACGCGGGTGTCGCATTCCGATAATGCACTGCACAGCTGAAGGAGAAGACCCAAAGTTGGCATCTTGTTAACAGAGCCGTCCTGTCCTCCCTCCCTCCCTGCCTCCCTCCCTCTTTCCCCCAGGAGCGCCTGCGCCCGAGGCTTTCTCTGGAAACTCTGGGCGGCCACTCAGTGGGCTGTCTTTACCACCGCAGCTCTTGGGATGTTTACCATCAGCCTGGTGAGTAAGCAAGGCTGCTGCAGATGGGGTGGGAGGCAGGCGCCGGACCTTGCCAGGTGGGGAGGCTTTGGGGGTCTGGCACGCCTGAACGGGGCCGGCTATAGGGGGGAGACGGAGGAGCCCGAGAGAGTTGCAGGAGGAAGGGCTGTGTAGGCACTAAAGCCCATGCCTGTTGGAGAACAGGGCAATGATGTGTTTCAGTGCCACTATCCCACTTCTGTTTTGGTAACCCACCCACCCCCCAAAAAAAACCCCAGCAATGAACTCAAAAAAATAATGTGTCCACCCAAGAGTGCAAGGAGTAGCCCTAAAAGGAGTCCTGCCCATCAAGAGAAAGAAAAAGCTGGTGGACGGAAGTCATCGTCAGAGCCCATTTGCAAGCAGGTACAGAAGCAACCCCCCTCTTAGAGGTGGCTGCTCCATATGGTAAAGTTGGGGTGGGCAATGTACGGGAATACAGGCCGCCCGACCCCACCAGCACCCTGAAAAAAGGCAAGGCAAAGCGTGCTGTTTATCTACCACCCCATTGCAAACCATCTGGGTGGTTTGCAATTAAAGAGGTGCAAGGCTACACATTGCACACATACACCTGTGTGCTCGTTACTCCGCTTACTGACCTTGGAAGTGTGGAAGCAGGAGTCAGCCTCTCGCCCGCGACCTGAGCCCAGCGGGATCGAACTTGATTCTTGAGCGGGGTCTTGATGGCAGGATGGCAGTTTTAACCACTGCACCATGAGGCTCTCTCACAGGACCGAGGAGGGGCTTGCATTAAGCACTGGGTGTGTGTGTGTGTGTTGGTTCTGCCAGAAGATGCGCGGTTGTTGCAGGAGTCGGGTCCCCCGCTCTCCAGCCCCGCCGCAACCCCCCAAGAGCCACTTTTCCGTGCAATGTCCAGGGCGGGTGCGTCTCTCAAGCCGACACGCTGGGCGCTCTCCCCCCCCTCCCGCTGGGTGGCTGCCTCTTTCCAGGAGGCGCCGACCCTCCAGCTCACCGGCTTTCTTCTCCCCGACCCACCACCCCAGGTCCCTTTCACCTACATCGAGTACGAGTCCAACGGGAAGCTCTGGCCGGCCGTCCACCAGCTCTTCAGCGCCGTGGACCGCTACCAGCTGGCCAATTCCTACGGGCTCTTCCGGCGGATGACGGGCGTCGGCGGGCGGCCGGAGGTGGTGGTGGAAGGCAGCTACGACAAGAAGACGTGGACGGTAAGAGCCCTCTGAGGGGGCCATGGGGGGGGCCACAGCTGCTCTCGGTTAGGGTTTGGGGTGGCCCCCTGCCCTCGGCTGGGGGGCTCTGTGGAGTCAGGGAGATCTGCTGGGGAGGATCTGGCTGGCAGTGGACGGGGCTGGAGACAAGTGGAGGTGGTTGAGGTGGTCAGAGGAGAGGAGAGGGTGTGGGTGGGTGGGTGGAATCTGGACCACTGGGTAGTTTAGGGAGAGCAGAGATGAGGAAGGAGGCAGGACCGTCAAGGGCGCCCTGGGTCAGAGGCTTCCGGACACCCCTTCGTGCTCCCAATGGCTGTTTCACAGCCCATGTGCGGATCGTCCATTGGCCACATTCGCCGCTGGACTGACTTGAGAGAAGTGGCAGAGAAGCGCCAGAGAGAGAACCTCACCAGGAGGGAGGAGGCATGATATTTGGCCATGGAGGGAACCAGCCCTGGCCTAATGCAGGGGGGGAGGGTTTGTGCAAGAGTGGAGGAGAGCCACGGACCACCAGCCCTTTGAGACAGGAGGGGCGAGGGGGGGAGGGAGGAAAGATGGAAGGAAGGCGTTCATGATGAACGGAAGGGAGGAAAGAAGGAATTCATGATAAATGGAAGGAAGGAAAGGGTTTATGATGAAATGAAGGGAGGAAGGAAGGAAAAATGGAAGGAAGGAGTTCATGATGAAATGAAGGGAGGGAGGGACCGATCAGGTGGGGTGGTCCCTTTTTCTTCCTGTGATGAGCCAAGAGGCTCTCTGGGCTGGCAGCATCCTTAGGCTTTGCTTTATCCCTCTTGTCCAGGAGATTGAATTCATGTACAAGCCAGGCAACCTCAGTGCGCCACCCCCGGTTGTGATCCCTCACCAGCCCCGGCTGGACTGGCAGATGTGGTTTGCAGCCTTGGGCCACCATACGCACAGCCCCTGGTTCACCAGCTTCGTCTATCGCCTTCTGCAGGGCAAGGAGGAAGGTGAGTGGGCCAGAGAGAGATGATTGAAGAAGGACTTCCTGGATCATCATCTCTCCACTGCTGCTCAGTGGAGGTGCAGAATCACTTCCTGTTCTTGTCTTTTGGGGTCCCTCAGCGCCTCTGGAGGGGGGGGGGAAAGCCGAGACCTGTTCCGTCCCCACTTTCAGCGAAATGGGTGGGCCATGAGGTTAGTTGAACAGACGCTCCAGAATTTGTGAACTGCACCTTAAGAGGAATATATTTTGTGAATTAGAAGTGTACAGATTTCTGCTTTTGGACTATTAATCCCAGAATGGCCGCAGAAATTCCGAGGATTGTAGCCCCAGAAGCAAAATCGTGCTCCCTTGTTGTGCTAATTCTTCAGAAACAATAATTATTGGCCATCAAGTCAATTCTGAGCCATGGCGACCCTTTCCAGGGTTCACTGGATAGGGGATAAAGTCCTCAGAGGGTGTTTCCCCTTCCCTTCTTCTTGGGGTGGGGGTGGGGGGCCCAGGGACCGTGCAGCTTGCCCAAAGCCATCCAGGCTGGCTTCTCCTCCTCCTCAGCCCAGCTGCCCTGACCCACCGAACCCTCCAACCAGCAATTCTTCCTGGGGGCTTAAAGGATAAGGAAAATGATTCTGGGCTGTGTTTTGACTTCATGACGTCGGCGCTTGCTAATGTTTTGATATTACAAATCATGATCTTATTCCTCTCCTCATATTTCTGATCGGAGACTGCTGAAGTTTTGGTTTTTGGGGTTTTTTTGTTTTGTTTGTTTGTTTGTTAGTGCTTGCTAATGTTTTGATATAACAAATCATGATCTTATTCCTCTGCTCTTATTTCTGATCAGAGACTGCTGAGGTTTTGTTTTTTGGGTTTTTTAATTTTGTTTGTTTGTTTAAATCCAGGGAAGGTTTTCAAACCTCTGAAATCAATTTTGGTTTTGTAGCCCTGAAAGGCTTCGCTTGCCCTGGTGGGGAGATGCCCTGTGTGGCTTTTTCTATCATGACAAGGAGGAGCGTAACCCATCAAAGATTTCACCGCTAAAGCTTGCAAAAAGGAATGAATCGTTAGAGCACTCGAACCGTTGACGGAATGGGGTGGTTTCCTTTTTTCAAAGCCAGCCCCCAGTGTTCTGACAAGAAGTGGGCGACCTCGTGGCCTTGCCGTGTTTTTGGGAGGGCTGGAGGATGCGAGGAGTAGCTCTGTGAACCCAGGCCTCTTGCACAAAGCATCTC